CCCCCCACCCAATACTCCCCCCCCACACACACACCAAAGTAGTAAAGTTCGTTTTCGACATGACAACTTGTACTTATTGTTGTAACGGGTCCACAGTTATCCTTAAACGACTTGTTTTTCCTCTTCCCCTCCACAAATTGTACCAACATCAAATATAGTGAAAGCAGGGGTTATACTGTGGGTGAGGGACATACAAAGCAACAAAGAAATAATCTTATAAGTGCATTAGAAACAAATGCATGAAAGAAAAAAACATTAAAATACATTTCTAAGGGTTCATTTTCCTAACATCACATTATCTGACCTTTTCTGCTTGACTCATACATATACTAGATATTGCAAATAAGGGAAATCATGGGACCTATAAAGATAGATCCTTATATATCACCCTACACCAGAATCAACTCCAAATGGATCAAAGACCTTGGAGTCAAAGCAGATACCCTAAAAACATTACAGGATGGAATAGGAGAAACCATATGTCTCCTTGGCACAGGCCGAAATTTTCTTAATAGAGATCCAGAAACACAGCAAATTAAAGAAAGGATGGACAAATGGGATTGCATGAAGCTGCAGAGCTTCTGCATGGCAAAGGACATAGCTAGCAAGATCAATAGAAAGCCCACGGATTGGGAGAAGATCTGCACCAGCCATACAATGGACAAGGGTCTCATATCTAAAATATACTTGGAACTCAAAAAATTAAATCCCCAATAAGATGTACAAGTTGTTATGTTGAAAATGAACTTTACAACTTTGGCATACAGGTGATGGTGAGGGGGGGAAATGGGAAGGGATGGGAAGGGGAAACAAAGGAGGAGGCAACAATGCTTGATAAGAAATGCACTCATTAGCAGGCCGCCAGTGGCTCACGCCTGTAATCCTAGCTACTCAGGAGGCTGAGATCTGAGGATCGCAGTTCAAACCCAGCCCGGGTAGGAAAGACCATGAGACTCTTATCTCCAATAAACCACTAGAAAACCACAAGTGGCGCTGTAGCTCAAGTAGTAGAGTGCTCTCCTTGAGCTGAAAAGCTGAGGGTCAGCGCTGAGGCCCACAGTTCAAGCCCCACAACTGACAAAAAAAGAAAAGAAAAAAGAAATGCACTCACTACCTTGCCCATGTAATTGTAACCCCTCTGTATGGTATTTTCACAATAAAAAAAAATTAAATCCCCCAACAACAAATCCTCAAAGAAACAACTGCCCAATAAATAAGTGGGCTAAAGACTTAAAGAGAAACTTCTCTGAAGAG